TTCAGGGGGAATGCGCACGGTGGAGGTACTGTCTGGACTTTCCACCGTGGTTGCACCAACGGAAACATCTAGACACCTACCCTGACACTCTCGCGACCACCCCGTGAGAGCCCTCTGCGGCCATGAGAAGGTGGGGTTGTGGAGTGCTAGCCAAGGGATACCTAATACCACAGGGAAAGCAGGAGATTCAATAATCGAAAAAATTACCTGCTCAAAATGAGTTTCCTAGGTGATCATGGTGACTGGTATCGTGACTTCCGTAACAAACCCGGACCCTATTGGTCGACTATCGAGTGCTCTGATGGGGAGTGGAATGGATAGGGGGAACCAATGTTATGCCTTGACGGCGTGCGGATGCCCATAAAGTTCCCAGCTGCGCCTGAATCGACTAGTGCCTTACACTGGGGAACTACCATGAGATCGGGAAAGTGGATAGGTAGGATACAGTGTGCAGCAGTGGGCTCTGAACAAGTGTGGGTGTTCGATACCTGGGGTGATGTGTGAGTGCCCTGCCTGCCGCCTCCCGGCCCAAAAGAGCGTTGACTACGACGTGTGGTGTATTGTCCCTTTGTGCCACCAGAGTGGCACTGTCGCTGTCCTCCTCCGCTCTCTTGGCCGGCGGCTCCACCAAGCTCCATCGGCTCGGGATCCGAGTCGTCTGGGGTGAAAACGGGCAGACCCCCACCAGGACGTCCTCTGGCTGCCAGCAGGTTGTCCAAACGAATGGCCATGTCCACCAGTTTGTTGAAGGACAACATGGTGTCTCGGCAGGCTAGCTCCCGTATGATGTCCTCCCGCAGATGGCACCGGAAATGGTCGATCAGGGCCAACTCGTTCCACCCGGACCCCGCTGCCAGCGTCCGAAACTCCAACACGAAGTGCTGCGCGGTCCTCGTCCCCTGCCTCAGATGGACCAGTCGCTCACCCGCCTCTCTACCCTCGGGCGGGTGATCAAAGACCGCCAAAAGAGGCAAGCGAACTCCCTGTAGTCCACCAATGCGGCTCCTCCTTCGTTCCACACCGTGTTGGCCCACTCCAGGGCTTTCCCGCAGGAAACGAGGACGGACACCTTCTCCCGCTCCGATGGTTCCGGCCTGATGCTGGTGAAGTAAAGCTCCAATTGGAGGAGGAATCCCTGGCACAGCACTGTCATCCCATCAAATGCCCGTGGTCGGGATATCTGGATCCCTCCGGGTGCTGGGGTGTAGGTGGCTGGATCCGGTTGGCCAGCTGGTCTCGACAGATCGGGTCCTCTCCTCTCCAGGCGTTGGATGACCTGAAGAACCCGATCCATCGCTTCCCCCAAGCTGGTCAGCATCGTGGAATGCTCCTGGACCCGTGCCACGACTCCAGGCATGCGCTCTTCTCCCGCTGACTCCATATTCGGGTGGGTGATTCTGTGATAAGGTGGTGTTGAAGGAGTCAGGCGCGGGAGGGTAAATTACAGAATAACAGGCTTTAATCCGCAAAATACAGGTTTACGCAGAAATGCGTCCAACACACTCCAGGGCACAAAACAGGTGCACAGGAAAATACAAGGCACACGTGAAAATACTCCCGTCGATACAAAATACACGAGCTCCACCGAGCTTCACTAAACTCCACAATAAACAATCACCCACAAGGACAAGGGGGCAGAGGGAACACTCATACACAGACTAATTAGGGGAATAGAACCAGGTGTGTGTGATTGACAAGACAATTGTGATGATGATTGGGGCGGCAGTGGTTAGTACTCCGGTGATGACGAACGCCGAAGCCTGCCTGAACAAGGAGGGGAGGCAGCTTCGGCGGAAGTCGTGACACAAATACACTCCCATGCATTTATTATTTGAAATAAGTATTTGAAAAGACTTTCAATTACAATTTGGTCGACTATTTATTTTTATTTTTTACAAATAACCATTCAAAAACTCAAATAAAAGTACTTGTTTTGGGCTGTGAATATTAAAATACTCAAATACACAGAAGAAAAAGTATTTAAATAACAGATACTCAAAATACACACGAATTTTAACCCTGGTCTGGTATGTATGTATTCTACTGGCCTGGCCCCTTTTCTATTTTTCCTCAGCAAAGAAGACTACCAGCCATCTCAGTCATCATCCCTCCCAGAGTACGCCATTTTCCTCACTCTCCTGCCGAGCGAGCAGATCGCATCAGTGAACAATCCAGCGCAATTTGGCAGAGCAATTTCTTCCATGCATTGATGACTCCCCGTGTTATAAAGAGACTGAGCTCGGCCAAGGAGAGAGGGTGGGGGGGAGCAGGCTCGCATTAGGGGGGGGCTCGTATTCTGCCCGAGAGATAGACGGCGAGAGTGAAAGCCAGAGATAGAGGGAAAGAGTAAGTGAGGAGTAAGAGGGGGGTAATTTTTGTTTCCAATTTTTTGAGGAGGTCGTAGGCTTGCTTGTTTTCCAGGCTCTTCTCTCCCTGTTTGGTGAAATAGCACAAAGTGTGGAGAGAGAGCGAGTGTGTATGAGAGCAGGGCTGTTCAAACAGACATAGAATTCAGCAGGAGAAGGAGTAGAGGCTGCTTTGAGAGCTGTCCAGAAACGGAGGTGTTGACATAGAGAGACCCAGACAGCCAGAATGAGAAGCTACTTTTGAGACGGATTAAAAACTGATGACGCTCTGAGGGGTGTGAGCGACAGAGCAGGAAAGGGAGGGGAAAGATGGCACAGAGAGAGATTGTGGAGAGAGATTGTGGAGAGAGAGAGAGAGAGAGAGAGAGAGAGAGAGGAGAGAGAGAGAGAGAGAGAGGAGAGAGAGAGAGAGAGAGAGAGAGAGAGAGAGAGAGAGAGATGGGGAGGGAAAGGAGAAAGACATACACTGAGTATACAAAACATTAAGAACACCTACAGTGAGGGAAAAAAGTATTTGATCCCCTTCTGATTTTGTACATTTGCCCACTGACAAAGAAATGATCAGTCTATAATTCTAATGGTAGGTTTATTTGAACAGTGAGAGACAGAATAACAACAACAAAAAATCCAGAAAAACGCATGTCTAAAATGTTATAAATTGATTTGCATTTTAATGAGGGAAATAAGCATTTGACCCCTCTGCAAAACATTACTTAGTACTTGGTGGCAAAACCCTTGTAGGCAATCACAGAGGTCAGACGTTTCTTGTAGTTGGCCACCAGGTTTGCACACATCTCAGGAGGGATTTTGTCCCACTCCTCGAGCAGGGGGACCTTGCGGGCACTGCAGGATTTCAGTCCTTCACGGCGTAGTGTGTTACTAATTGTGTTCTTGGTGACTATAGTCCCAGCTGCCTGATCATTGATAAGATCCTCCTGTGTAGTTCTGGGCTGATTCCTCACCGTTCTCATGATCATTGCAACTCCACAAGGTGAGATCTTGCATGGAGCCCCAGGCAGAGGGAGATTGACAGTTATTTTGTGTTTCTTCCATTTGCGAATAATCGCACCAACTGTTGTCACCTTCTCACCAAGCTGCTTGGCGATGGTCTTGTAGCCCTTTCCAGCCTTGTGTAGGTCTACAATCTTGTCCCTGACATCCTTGGAGAGCTCTTTGGTCATGGCCATGGTGGAGAGATTGGAATCTGATTGATTGATTGCTTCTGTGGACAGGTGTCTTTTATACAGGTAACAAAATGAGATTAGGAGCACTCCCTTTAAGAATGTGCTCCTAATCTCAGCTCGTTACCTGTATAAAAGACACCTGGGAGCCAGAAATCTTTCTGATTGAGAGGGGGTCAAATACTTATTTCCCTTATTTAAATGCAAATCAATGTATAACATTTTTGACATGCGTTTTTCTGGATTTTGTTGTTGTTATTCTGTCTCTCACTGTTCAAATAAACCTACCATTTAAATTATAGACTGATCATTTCTTTGTCAGTGGGCAAACGTACAAAATCAGCAGGGGATCAAATACTTTTTTCCCTCACTGTACTCATGACACAGACTGACCAGGTGAATCCAGGTGAAAGCTATGATCCCTTATTGATGTCACCTGTTAAATCTATTTCAATCAGTATAGATGAAGTGGAGAAAACAGGTTAAAGAAGGATTTTTAAGCCTTGAGACTATTGAGACATGTATTGTGGATGAGTGCCCTTCAGAGGGTGAATGGGCAAGACAAAAAATGTAAGTGCCTTTGAACGGAGTATGGTAGTAGGTGCCAGGTGCACCGGTTTGTGTCAAGAACTGTAACACTGCTAGGTTTTTCACGCTCAACAGTTTCCCATGTGTATCAAGAATGGTCCACCACCCAAAGGACATCCAGCCAATTTGACACACCTGTGAGAAGCATTGGAGTCAACATGGGCCAGCATCCCTGTGGAACGCTTTCGACACCTTGTAGAGTCCATGCCCTGACAAATTGAGACTGTTCTGAGGGCAACTCAATATTAGTAAGGTGTTCCTAATGTTTGGTATAGTCAGTGTATGAAAAAGGAAAAGTGCTTGAAAAGGGCAGATAATAGAAGGGGGATAGCAGAAGAGAGGTGTGAGGAGTGGCTCTTTGGAAAGGTGAGACTCTCACGAACACGTACATGTTGGTTGTTTTGCTCAATGACGCCCACAGGCCTCACAAGACTCGTCTGAAGGTCCCCCGGTACCAGTTGAAAAAATGTATTGAAGTATATATGAAGACTGTTTAGTACCAACAATAAGGGGTTAAATACATGTTAAAAAAAAGAATAATAATAATGTTTCCTGATCTGTCTTATATCTCTCAGATATAGGACAGACACTTCAGAACATATTTCCTTTCGATTTTTTGGGGGGGACTATCTGTTGTTCCATGTAGTGAATATGTTATTCAATGTATGGGCTAATAGCAATAAGGCCATAAAACACTTCTAGATTATTTTGACACTTCAAAATCAAATAGCAAAATTATCCTTGGTATGAGCTTCTTAAAACAATTCCATATAGCTTAGTAGAACCCCCCCTTCTCCCCCCCCACCCCATCTTAAACAAGGCTTAGACTCTTATGGGTTAATAAACATCTCTCTAGCAACGATCCATGGTAAGACAGATTCTTCTCAGATCTGAGAATAGTGAGAATGTCTCTTTCTCTCTTTCTGACTAATAAACTCTCAGTGGAATGTCTTATCACTTATCACCATGGTAATTAACAGCTAAAGAGAAACCAGAGACCGTCACCCCCTGTCATGTGATCCTCCATTGGTGGACTTGACTCCAACAGCTATCTGTTTTCTCTGTATGGCCTTGCCCCCAACCATTAACTTCAGCCTCTCAACCTATAACAAGCACTTAAACACAACCATGACACTGACCTTAAACCTGACCCACTCTTTGTGCGAACAAGAGACAAAATAGAGAGAAACTGAGAGGGAGGGAGAGAGAGAGAAAAGGAGAGAGAGATGGGGTTTGTTGTTGGATTGAATGCAGTTCATAGCCCTAGGTATGTTGCAGCCTGCTGTGTCCTCCTTTCCATTGAATTATATTTCTTGTAAGATCATCTTGTTTTCTCCTTGTTCATTTCTTCCTCCGTTGTATTATAAGAATGTAGTCTTCTCACAGTAATTGAGTGCTATTGAAAAAGCCTGGATTGACACCATAGGATGATAGGGAGAGAGGGAGAGAGGGAGAGAGGGAGAGGGGGAGAGAGGGCAGAGAAAAGAGGAAGAGGTGGAACCACTGTTTTCCTCTGAAGAGAGAGTGCGTGTCTAGCATTAGAGATCTCTTAGCAGATGGTGTGTGTATTTACCTGCCCATGATGACGCACAGGAGAGAATGGGCACCCACTAGTTGAATCAACGTTGTTTCCACGCCATTTCAATTAAATTACATTGAAAGTTTGTGCCCAGTGGGATATCACTCTGACACCTTTACATACATTTACATTTACATTTACGTCATTTAGCAGACGCTCTTATCCAGAGCGACTTACAAATAGGTGCATTCACCTTATAGCCAGTGTGATAACCACTTTACAAGGTTTTTATTTTTATTTATTTTTATTTTTTTGAGTTGTAGGGGTTTAATGGCACAGGCAGGGAGCCCAGCCAACAGCGAGTTGCTATGGCAACAACACCAAGTTGATATGGTTTCTTTCCTCCAACATATGGAGAGAACATATTTTGTTCCATTGGGGGAATCTACCTTTGTTTCTTAAGTGTTTAGTGTTTCTCCAAGCTACAATAGAATGACTCACACCTGTTTTTCCAACTACAGTTAAAGTGAAAGATTCTCATTAGGTGAGTTGCTGGATTGGAGTTTGGCAACAGATCTTCTCTCCTGTGTGTGAGAGCGAGATGGAGCTAGTTTCCCTCTCTCCACTTTCTCCTGAGTTCTATTTGATATTTTGCATGGTCTCACCGGTTCGGTGTGATTTGTTGAAAAGATCCTCTGTTATGTAGACACACAAACTCCAGGGAGTAGTGTTAGCTCAACGTCAGCTCACTGACGTGTTCACTCTTCTAAAGGACATGTATCTTTTAGCTGTGCTGAGTCAAGATGATGGCTGTGTTTTATCCATCTGTGCTCTGGCTTTATTTAGCCCTGGAGCTCTGCTTGGCTCACTGGAGCTGGTGTTTGTGTGGATTGTGTGTGCAGTGTGTTCTGTGTGTACAATATATGTGCTGCTGTGTGGTCTATGGACTGTGTTGTTGTGCTGCCTGCTCAGTGTGGTCGTTGCTTAAAGACAAATGACCCCATTAGAAAGCACAGTGGGGGCGATCCGTCAGAACCACCCTCTTTCTGCGTGCTCAGACACTGTCTGCCTGCCCTGCCCTGCCCACCAAATCAAATCAAATCATGTTATTGGTCGCGCACACATATTTAGCAGATGTTATCGCAGGTGTAGCGAAATGCTTATGTTCCAACAGTGCAGTCATTTACAAGTGCCACCACTCTGTTGTGGGGTTGTGTGTGTGACTGCACTGTGTAAATGTTTGTGGTTGCAGTATGAACAGTGCGTGTGTGTGCCATGTGTGAGTGCATGCGTGTGTGCGTGCATGTGTGTGAGTACGTGTGTGTGTGAGTTTGTATGTGTGTCACAGGAGGTTGGTGGCACCTTAATTGGGGAGGATGGGCTCGTGTTAAAGGCTGGAGCGGAATGGTATCAAATGTGTTTGAAGCCATTCCACTTGCTCCTTTCCAGACATTATTATGAGCCGTCTTCAGCAGCCTCCTGTGGTGTATGTGCATGCATGTTCTGTGTATTTGTCAAAGCGAGCACTGCTGGGAGTCAATGAGCACAGCACTCTGTGAAGCTGTGTCTCGCCTTCCTAAATACAAGATTAATGAGAGCCTCGTAAAAAACATGCTGAAGTCTTATTAAAGCAGAACGAGGGAAGAAAACGGCAGAGAGAGCGGAGGAGAAGTTGTGTTCTACTTGGTGTGAGGGGCTAGCGAGGGGCGTAGGTACTGTACTGTACTGTAATGTGTCTGGCTGGCTCTGCAAAGCTAACAGTCCTCATCGAGCATTCTGGGAGCTCATTAACGGAGTCTGGGAGCTGGAGGAGACCCGGCAGTGGGGATAGGGGAGCCAGCTCACTGAGCAGAACACAGCAGCCTGGCAGAACACTGTCTAGTTGCAGCAGCAGCAGAGTAGCTGAGGAAGAAGAGATGCTGCCTGGGCCCAGGCCAGGTCCAGCTAGTAGAATAAACCCAGAGTGACAGCCCTGATCTGGATCTACATGGCCTTGTCTAATCCAGACAGCTCTGGTCCCAACCAATAGGGAGAGGAGGCAGGTGTAGAGGGAGAGAGAACTTTACATAAGCTTTAAAACATTAAAATAGGTCTCAGCGCCCACCAGGTTATTCTGTATCTTCCCCATTCCTACCTACTGGTCCTCAGTGGATCCCCAGTTCTGAAGGTGTTGTGTTCTGCACCTCTGCCTTGCTGTATCCTTCTGCTGTCAGCATTGGTGAACCAACAGGCACCGTCACATTATTCCATCCCACCCTATCAGAAAGAGGAAAGATGGCATCAGTTGTGTGAATGTTGGTCCTGACATGCTGATACATTATGCCAATCTTAATTGTGTTTGTTTGTCTTATAATCTGTATATTGTTTGTTACCTCTTTCATGTTTGTACTCTCTGTCAAATCCATTCTATCTGCCTCTCTCTCCCTCTCCTCTCCCCAAACAAACTCTCTCTCTCTTTCTCTCCTCCAGAGTCGTAGCCCGCGTCACTCCCAGTCCACCCAGTCTGGGCTAGCTGACCAGGCTGCTAAGCTGTCCTTTGCCTCAGCTGAGTCTCTGGCTGAGACCATGTCTGAGGCTGACATCCCCCTAGGGTTCAGCCGAACCAACCGCTTCCGCCAGAGCCTGCCCCTGTCTCGCTCAGCCAGCCAGAACAAGCTGCGCTCCCCAGGTGAGACCCAACACCCACACTGGAGCTAGATGTGATCCAGACATTACAGAGACTATACATGACGTGTACATGATCACATCTTAATCTTTACCAAGAACTGCTACAGTAAGACAGCGCTCCCCATGTGAGACCCACCACACACTGTACAGAGAATATACAGTACATGAGATCAGTGGAGGAAGGGGAGGACCATCCTGCTCAGTGAATTCCATAAAAATAAAAATAGTTGAAACTTTAAAACAGTTATCCTTTTGGATAAAACTATACTAAATATATTCACATGCCACCAAATAATTGATTAAAACGCACTGTTTTGCAATGAAGGTCTACAGTAGCCTCAACAGCACTCTGTAGGGTAGCACCATGGTGTAGGCGGGGGACAGCTAGTTTCTGTCCTCCTCTTGGTACATTGACTTCAATACAAAATCTAGGAGGCTCATGCTTCTCACCCACTTCCATAGACTTACACAGTTATTATGACAACTTCCAGAGGACATTCTCCAATCTATCAGAGCTCTTGCAGCATGAACTGACATGTTGTCCACCCAATCAAAGGATCAGAGAAGTAATCTAGTACTGAAAGCATAAGCTACTACAGCTAGCTAGCACTGCAGTGTATAACATGTGGTGAGTAGTTGACTCAAAGAGAGAGAAAGACAATAGTTGAACAGTTTTGAAAAAATGCATTTCCTTAAAAATGAAGGAGAAGCAAGAGAGAGAGAGAGAGATTGCTATATTTAGTTGTATTTTTTTTTTAAACTTTCACTTAGCTAGCAAATGCAGCTAGCTAGTTTAGCCTACTCAAACACCCAGCTCAAACAGAGAGGGATGCTATGTTAGCTAACTGGCTATGGCTATCCAAAACTGGAACTTTTCCAAATCAAGGTTAGCTTTTGGTTTTATTCATTTATTGCCCCTGCCGGTGTAACTGCTAAACTGCTTGCTAACTGTACACTGTACTGCATGATTGTAGTGGGTTTACTAACGCGTTAGTTCTAGTAGCTATGTTGACTGACATTAGCTAATATGGTGACAACAATGTAGGCTGTGTGTAGCGGTTAGCGGTCATGGTATGAAGGTTTGGCTTAGAAAGTTTTTATTGCCTGGTCGCAGACAGCTGATGTGTTATGCACTGAAGCCCACAAGCGAAGGGAAAAGGTGACAGGAGGACAGTGTGTAAATGCGAGAAGGAATTAACATGAAAGTGATCATGCTGTTTGAATGTGGCTGCTATGAAAGTGAACTATTCTGTTGAAAAACCTTTCTTAAGTGGAAGCAAACGGAACGAAACGGGGATAAACATACCTGAATTTGTCCAATAGAAAATCTTGTTTGCAACTGTTGGACTAAAGATTACACCCTAGATCAGCTAGATGCAGGCAAGTGTGCAAGGCGGTATTGAATGTGCCACTGTCTGTCACCTTGATTACTCAAATGTTTATCTTGACCTATACACCTACGTTGTAAACTTCATTCATAGGCTAGGTTGTAGCAACTTCATGATGGGTATAGTTAAAATGTGAGTTTCATGTAGTAGCCTAAACCTATAAATGTTACATTGAGCTGTGTGATTGGAATATGAATGACAGTCATCCAATATGCTGTAATAGAAATAAGGCCATGCTCATAAAATAAATGATCGTCCTTCCTCATCTTAAACGGCACCGACCGCCATTGCATGTCATATACAGTACCAGTCAAAAGTTTGGACACACCCACTCATTCAAGGGTTTTTCTTTATTTTTACTATTGTAGTAACCAAAAAAGTGTTAAACAAATCAAAATATAGTTTATATTTGAGATTCTTCAAAGTAGCCACCATTTGCCTTGTGTCACGATCGTCGTAATGATTGGACCAAGGCGCAGCGTGAAATGCGTACATCTTTTATTGAGTACTTACACACAGCAACAAAACAACAAAACGAAACGTGAAGTCCTCGGTCATAAACACAAACCTACACGGAACAAGATCCCACAAATGACAAGTGCACAAAAGGCTGCCTAAGTATGGTACCCAATCAGAGACAACGAGCCACAGCTGTCTCTAATTGGGAACCCACCCCGGCCAACATAGAAACACATAAACTAGACAAGAACATAGAAAACGAAACATAAAACTACACGTCGAAACTAACACCCTGGCTCAACATATAAGAGTCCCTAGAGCCAGGGCGTGGACACCTTGATGACAGCTTTGCACACTCTTGGCATTCTCTCAACCAGATTCATGAGGGTAGTCACCTGGAATGCATTTCAATTAATAGGTGTGCCTTTTAAAAGTTAATTTGTGGAATTTATTTCCTTCTTAATGCGTTTGAGCCAATCAGTTTTGTTGTGACAAGGTAGGGGTGGGGTATATAGAAGATAGCCCTATATGGTAAAAGACCAAGTCCATATTATGGCAAGAACAGCTCAAATAATCAAAGAGAAATGACATTACTTTAAGACATGAAGGTCAGTCAATACAGAAAATGTGTGCAGTCGCAAAAACCATCAAGCGCTATGATGAAAACTGGCTCTCATGAGGACTGCCACAGGAAAGGAAGACCATTAGAGTTACCAGCCTCAGAAATTGCAGCCCAAATAAGTACTTCACAGAGTTCAAGTAACAGACACATCTCAACATCAACTGTTCAGAGGAGACTGCGTGAATCATGCTTTCATGGTTGAATTGCTGCAAAGAAACCACTACTAAAGGACAACAATAAGAAGAAGAGACTTACTTGGACCAAGAAAACACGAGCAATGGACATTAGATCGGTGGAAATTTGTCCTTTGGTCTGGAGTCCAAATTGGAGAGTTTTGGTTCCAACCGCTGTGGCGGTTAATAAAAAAGTTGTCAGATTGACGCAGATGCTAAGCTACAGGACTGTTTTGCTAGCACAGACTGGAAAATGTTCCGGAGGATTCTTCAGATAGCATTGAGAGTACACCACATCAGGTCACTGGCTTCATCAATAATGCATCGATGAAGTCATCCCCCACAGTGACCGTACGTACATACCCCAACCAGAAGCCATGGATTACAGGCAACAACCACACTGAGCTAAAGGGTAGAGCTGCCGCTTTCAAGGAGCAGGACTCTAACCCGGAACGCTTATCCCGCTATGGCCCTCCAACGAAACCATCAAAACAGGCAAAGAGTTTCAATACAGGAATTAAGATGATTGAATCGGACCCAGCGTCGGATGGTGGCAGGGGCTGAAACTCCCCTTGACTGTAGCCAGGCGTGAAACTTCCGGCCATGAAGCTGCCAACGGCCAGACGGATTACCAGGACGTGTACTCCGAGCATGTGCTGACCAACTGGCAAGTGTCTTCACCAACATTTTCAACATGGTCCCTGACTGAGTCTGTAATATTAACATGTTTCAAGCAGACCACCATAGTCCCCGTGCCCAAGGACACTAAGATAACATGCCTAAATGACTACCGACCCGTATAACTGACGTCTGTAGCCATGAAGTGCTTTGAAAGAATGGTCAAGGCTCACATCAACACCATTATCCCAGAAACCCTAGACCCACTCCAATTTGCATACCGCCTCAACAGATTCACAGATGATGCGATCTCTATTGCACTCCACACTGCCCTTTCCCACCTGGACAAGAGGAACACCTACGTGAGAATGCTATTCATTGACTACCGCTCAGCGTTCAACACCATAGTGCCCTCAAAGCTCATCACTAAGCTAAGGATCCTGGGACTAAACACCTCCCTCTGCAACTGGATCCTGGACTTTCCGACGGGCCGCCCCCAGGTGGTAAGGGTAGGTAACAACACATCTGCCACGCTGATCCTCAACACGGGGGCCCCTCAGGGGTGCGTGCTCAGTCCCCTCCTGTACTCCCTGTTCACCCATGACTGCATAGCCAGGCACGACTCCAACACCATCATTAAGTTTGCCGACGACACAACAGTGGTAGGCCTGATCACCGACAACATTGAGACAGCCTATAGGGAGGAGGTCAGAGACCTGGCCGTGTGGTGCCAGGATAACAACCTCTCCCGCAACGTGACCAAGACAAAGGAGATGATTGTGGACTACAGGGAAAAAAAGAGGACTGAGCACGCCCCCATTCTCATCGACGGGGCTGTAGTGGAACAGGTTGAGAGCTTCAAGTTCCTTGGTGTCCACATCACCAATGAACTATCATGGTCCAAACACACCAAGACAGTAGTGAAGAGGGCACGACAAAGCCTATTCTCCCTCAGGAGACTGAAAAGATTTGGCATTGTTTCTCAGATCCTCAAAAAGTTATACAGCTGCACCATCGAGATCCTCCTGACTGGTTGCATCACCGCCTGGTATGGCAACTGCTCAGCCTCCGACCACAAGGCACTGCAGAGGGTAGTGCGTACGGCCCAGTACATCACTGGGGCCAAGCTTCCTGCCATCCAGGACCTCTATACCAGGCGGTGTCAGAGAAAGGCCCTCAAAATTGTCAAAGACACCTTAGTCATAGACTGTTCTCTCTGCTACCACACGGCAAGCGGTACCGGAGCGCCAAGTCTAGGTCCAAAAGGCTTCTCAACAGCTTCTACCCCCAAGCCAAAAGTCTCCTGAACAGCTAATCATGGCTACCCAGACTATTTGCACTGCCCCCCCACCCCCACCCCATCTTTTTACGCTGCTGCTACTCTGTTAATTATTTATGCATAGTCACTTTAACTCTACCCACATATTACCTCAACTACCTCAACTAGCCGGTGCCCCCGCACATTGACTCTGCACCAATACCCCCCCTGTATATAGCCTCCCTACTGTTATTTTATTTTACTTCTGCTCTTTTTTTCTCAACACTTTTTTGTTGTAGTTGTTTTATTTTACTTTTTTATTAAAAACTAAATGCATTGTTGGTTAAGGGCTGTAAGTAAGCATTTCACGGTAATGTCTACACCTGTTGTATTCGGCGCATGTGGCAAATAACATTTAATTTGATTTGATTTGTGAGACGCAGTGTAGGTGAACGGATGATCTCCGCATGTGTAGTTCCCACCGTGAAGCATGGGGAAGGAGGTGTGATGGTGTGGGGGTGCTTTGCTGGTGACACTGTCTGTGATTTATTTAGAATTCAAGGCACACTTAACCAGCATGGCTACCACAGCATTCTGCAGCGACACGCCATCCCATCTGGTTTGGGCTTAGTGGGACTATCATTTGGTTTTCAACAGGACAATGACCTAAAACACCTCCAGGCTGTGTAAGGGCTATTTGACCAAGAAGGAGAGTGATGGAGTGCTGCATCAGATGACCTGGCCTCCACAATACCCCGACCTCAACCCAATTGAGATGGTTTGGAATGAGTTGGACCACAGAGTGAAGGAAAAGCAGCCAACAAGTGCCCAGCATATATGGGAACTTCTTCAAGACTGTTGGAAAAGCATTCCAGGTGAAGCTGGTTGAGAGAATGCCAAGAGTGTGCAAAGCTGTCATCAAGGCAAAGGGTGGCTACTTTGAAGAATCTTAAATATAAAATATATTTTGATTTTTTGGTTACTACATGTGTGTTATTTCATAGTTTTGATGTCTTCACTATTATTCTACAATGTAGAAAGTAGTAAAAATAAAGAAAAACCCTTGAATGAGTAGGTGTGTCCAAACTTTTGACTGGTACATGACCATGTACAGGCAACATCTTCCTCATCCCAAAGCTTTTGTAAACTTCTTGCATTAAATGTCAATTTACCAATCTGATCAGAATGGCTTCATGCCATTTTCATATTAACATTTACCTAGCTTATCTGCTATCTTATGAAACCTTATCTGCTTACATAGTAAATAATTATCAATAATTATCAAACATCTCAAATCCCTTTCACGTTTTGTGGTTATGCTTTCTTTGAATTCACTATTCAATATGAATTCTTGTGAAATTATTGAATCGTGATAACATTTGCATATTTTGTAACCATTTCATAAGCGTAAGTTATGCACTCCAGGCTGGGTGTTGTTATCAGGGACCAATCACACATCTCCTGGGTTAGTCATGTAACCTACAACCTGGTGCCTCTTCACACCCTCAGATCAGTGTGATTATTCTCTGCCTGCCTGCCCTGTGCTGCATTACTGCTTACATAACACTGGATCATCCATGCCTTAGATTGTGTCCCACTATCTGAGGCACAACAACCATATACAGCCATACACTGCACTGTATTTCATTATTAGCACAGGGATAATATATTTATAGACATAACCTCATGATTCAGATCCTTACGTATTATTCATTTATTTATTCTACAGAGTCATATTGAGTGAACTCAGCGTTGGGACAGCTTTACAGTGTGGATGGATCAGACTTATAAACATTGGGGGGGTGTAGGCTATGCTAAGCACGCAGGGAGAAACAGAGTGCTGTAAAACCAGTGACAGTGACGGATGATGAGCCCTTTGGAAGAGGAGTTTAGGCAGTGCTATAGAACAGTGGCACTCTCTCACTCCCACCTCCTCCTGTCTATTTATCAACTCGAGTCTCTGACTCTCGTCACCTTCCCTCTATCTATCTCTCTCTCCTTTTTCTTTGAATTTCATCACCCCTTCCTCTATGTTTCTATTATCTCCTGCTCTACCTTCATCCTCTTCCTCTCTGTCTGTTTGACTTTAAATTCTCTCTCCGTGGCCTAGGGTGGTCTAGCGGTGATGGCTCAGCCTCCGGCACACATCTACAGTGTCGGCATAGGTTCCAATCCGGCCTACTGACCTTTGACCCAACCTCTCTCTACCTTTCCCCACTGTCATAATCTCTGTCTATCTATTCAATAAAGTATTTATCTCTCTCCTTCTCCAGGCGTGCTGTTCCTGCAGTTTGGGGATGAGACGCGGCGGGTGCACATCACCCACGAGCTGAGCAGCCTGGACACGCTGCACGCCCTCATCGTGCACATGTTCCCCCAGAAGCTGACGGCGGGGATGCTCAAGTCCCCCAACACGGCCATCCTGATCAAGGACGAGGCGCGCAATGTCTTCTACGAGTTGGAGGACATCCGGGATATCCAGGACCGCAGCATCATCAAGATCTACCGCAAGGAGCCCATCTACGCCTCCTACCCAGCCACACACCTGGTCAACGGGGACCTGAGGGTGAGACAGGGAGGGGAGAGAAGGGTGAGGGAGGAGAGAAGGGTGCTGAGGAAGGGGAGGGGAGGGGGGGTGGAGCTGGGATGGGGGTCTGATAGGGGGATAGGTGGATGGAGGGCTCATTATTCTACTATAAATGCTGATACTATCACATTACTGTTGGGCTTTAACCTTTGAAGGTGCAACAGCCCTTTTGTGTTTATGTTGCAACAGTAAATTTGACAGGTTGTGGAGGCGTATGGGTTATTTCTCCAGATATTCCCGCTGGGCAGTACTTTTATCTTCAAGATAACCATTTGCTGCCTGGACACTAAAGAACAATGTTGCCCAGGGAGATGAACTTGTTTCACCCCCTCTGCATGTCTCTGCTTTGGTTGAGTTCAAGGTAACTTGAAGTTGTTCTGTTTTCAGTCCCTATCATCTGTATATTCACAATACATTGAGGATGAATCAGCCATTACCTATGCAAGTAATTAGAGTGTGTGTGTGGGTGGCTGTGTCTCTGTCTCTGTCTGTGTCTGTGCGTATGAGTGTGTTTTCGTGTGTGTGTGTGTGTGTGTGTGTGTTTGTGTGTGTGCGTGCAGGCATACTAAAATCTAAAAAGTGTGTATGGAGGAACAAAATATCCCAGATGGACTGAACTAGATTAAAGAGAGTTCTTATTTCCAGAAGGGTAGATGATGTGGTAAAGCCAGGCCTTTGAAGAACATTAAAGTTGCTGGCTCTTTGCTGGCTCTTTGTTCTATGACAGTGTGTGTGTGAACTGCACACCCCCTTCTAGTTCAGTGCTGTACTTGGGACTGCCCTGCATGTTAACTAACATCTTGACATTGAACTGCTCCCGTGTGTATATTTTTGGGTTTGTATAGCTGGTTTTAACTGTGTTTTCAGGGTTTTATGTAAGTGTGTGTCCCGACTCCTGTGTAGTGTGTGTGTGTGTGTGTGTGTGTGTGTGTGTGTGTGTGTGTGTGTGTGTGTGTGTGTGTACAATATTAAAGGCTTAGACCACACAGGCAAGCGGTGGAGGAGAGAAGAAAGAAGGAACCTGTGGTGGATGAGGAAATTCCTCACATTCATTCTAATGAACGAGGAGTGGGTTAGGCTCCTGCTTTCTCTCACTTCTCTTCAATAGAGAGGAAATTGATATGTGCAGATATGGAGACATGCTGAATATCAGCTCTTTGTAATCCAATGTAATGCCAATGGGTTTAGTTGGGTTGGTTAAATGGAGCTCAGTGGTTCTCCTAGATGAGTGGAAGGAGAAGAAAGAAACAGTGCGACAATAAGGCTGGACTGGGCCCCTCTCTTAAGCTCTTTCACTTTCAGCCTCAGTTATTACACTGTAAGGTGACAGTCAATACATGTAGGTATTCCCATATCCTATAAGCCTTACTGTACTCTTGGATAGAGTCATTACTATAGACTTGAATAACACGTGTTGATTGTGTGGTGGTATTTGATGTGGGCTTGTATAAAGATGCTATGATTGCATTGATGAGCCCAGGCTGCCACAGACTGTCCAATGTCAGTCTGATCTCCTATCCTCTGATTGTCAGTCTGGCACAAAGGGGGAGCACAGCCTTTTCATCCACTGGTATCCATGGTAACCTACCCTCCACCCCTGCCCCTGTTGTCGTTTCAGAGGGATCTGGTGTATACGTCCCGAGAGTCCTCCCCCACCCGCCGCCTCAACACCCTGCCCTCCTCCTCCGCCTCGCCCCCCTCCGGTACCCCATCCCGCTCTCGTCTGTCCTACAGTGGGGGGCGGCCTCCCTCCTTTGCCGGGCCGGGTAGTCACCCCCAGCACCAACAACACTCCCAGCACCAGCAGCACCCCCAGCAGCACCAGCCCCAGCACTCCCACCACCCTGGGGCTGGCTCCCACCACGGGGGCCCCAATGCCGGCCTGTCCTCATCCCCTAGCGCCATCCTGGAGCGTCGCGACGTCAAGCCCGACGAGGAGGTGTCTGGGAAGAACATGATGCTGGTGAAGAACGAGGGGTTGTACGCTGACCCCTACAGCCTGGTACATGAGGGCCGCCTCAGCATCGCCTCTACACAGTCACTGGCTGCCATCGGAGACCCCTTCGGCTTCCCCGTGTCTGGTGGGCTGTACCGCCGTGGCTCTGTGCGCTCCCTCAGCACCTACTCTGCTGCCGCCCTGCAGGGGGAGCTGGAGGACGCCCTGTACAAGCCTGGAGGTCCCGTCTACTCCGACTCCTACTCCTCAGCCACACTGGGCATGGGCTTCCGCATGCCCCCATCCTCCCCACAGAAAATCCCTGATATGCAGCTGAGGGACAGGGGGGACTCGTACTCCAGCTCTCCCAACCGAGCCTCCCCGGTCAGGCAGACCTTCCGCAAGGACTCAGCCTCCTCTTCCATGTTTGTGGAGAGCCCCAAGTCCAGGCCCAGTTCCAGCTCTGACCCTTTGGCCCTGCAGGCCGGGCCGGGAGGGGACGGGAGTAGGTTTGCGCCCGGGTACAGCTCCCCACTCCCTGGAGAAACTTCTGAGTCCAAGTGAGTGTGTGTGTGTGTGGTTTGAGATTTCATGCTTCCCCTATACAGTATGTATGTGTTTCACTAGGTGTTTTCAAGTGTATACTAGTATGTTGTGACGTTACTGTGTGACGTGTGGGCGCATGAGCTTGCATGATTGTGTGTGTGAGTGAACCTAACTGACCAGTGTGTGTTAACCTGCTGGCTTTCTCCAGGGATCGTATGGAGCGTCTGGACCGTATGGAGGCCATGGAGAAACAGATAGCCAGTCTGACAGGCCTGGTTCAGAGTGTACTGACCAAAGCACCCGACAGTGACAGCACGTAAGACCCCCAAACACACAGAGCCATTCATAGAAGTATATACCACTACAGCAGTAGCAACATGACAGGAAGAGCACAGAAATACATGACTGGTCTCAAGATATTGTTGTTTAATAGACCAGAATATGTACAAGTACATTATTGAAGTATAGTAGTACTATACATGAGTATAGTACAGCTGTTGGCATTATTGTCTGGTAATAATGACCTTGCCCTGTGTACACTATAAAGCACTGTATGTCCTGTAGTATAAGTACATACTGTAGTACATGAGTATAGTACAGGTGTTGGCATTAGCACTGTAATTGCCTTGCCCTGTGGCCCTGGTTGATCCTCAGATGCGGCCTACTGCGTCTCTGCATGATGGCGGGCTGCCCTCCGGACCAGGGCTCGGAGTTCTCACGGCCCTTCCCTTTCTCTTCCAGCGAGAAGACCGAATCCAACAGCGACGGCTCCGCCACTGGAAGTGAGTACTACTAGTTTGATCCGTAGTCAGACTGAGTCCAGTCCTGCTAACCATTTACAATAGTTCAGGTTGAGCTTAGTTCTCGTCTCCATTTACCCATTGGACCAGGCATAGACCAGTTATTTTAACGATAAGATGGCTACTGGTCTTTAAACCTCAACAGACATAGAATGACATCTCCCTCAACTCGCAACCTAAATGCAAACTTACCCATCCCTCTCTCCCTGCTTCCTCTAATATCTCCCTCTTTACTCTCACATTCCCTCCCCTTTCTTCTTCTGTTTTATTTCTCTTTTTTCTCACTCCCTCTCTCTCTCCATATCTCTTTCCTCCACTGTTCCTAATGCTTCCGTTTAGCATGAGTGTGTCTACAGAGACTTGCTGTTCAATGGCCAGACCATCAAAGGGCCAGCGAAAGGACACATCTGCCTTTGATGCCTCTCCTTGGCATGAAATAACACCAGAAAAAAAAGCAATAGTCGATAGAGGAAGTGTCCAGGGGCCCTCATTTGCCTCTGGCAAATTAAACCTTGAACATTTCTCCCAATTTTCCTCCACTCTCTCTTCTCTCTCTCCCTCATTTATCTTTGGTAACTGGCTCACTGCTTCTGTATTACAGCTGGACGGCTGAAGCGGAAAGTTTCACTCTTCTCCTTCTCTCCTTTTCTCTTCTATCTCTCCTCTCATCTCTCTGCCCCTGTGTGGGTGTCTGTGGTGTTGTCACAGCTCCGGTGGTGGTGGTGGTGTGTCTCTTCTCTTATGTACCCTTTGGTTGGTTATCTAGAGGTCAGGTCTGTTTATTCTACACCCTGTCCCCAACTCCTCTCTAACCCCCCTCCTGTCTCTGGTCCTGTCTTGTTGCTCCTTTACTCCTTTTGGATCTGTCTGGATGTTCAAACATCTGCGATTCAGAAGAATATTCTCCTCCCACCATCAACAGGCTCTCCCTGTTCGTTTTCAGTCTACCTCTGTCCAGGAACTGAGCTGGGATCCTTTACCTGTGCTCCCAAGACAGCGTGTAGAAGTGTGGAAGTGTGTGTGTGCGTGCGTGCATGTATCTGCTGTTGTGTGTGTGTGTGTGCAGACGTCTCTATACATACAGCATTGTAATTAACCCAGTTTCCTCTGGGTTCTGTCCTGTGATTGTCAGCTCTGACGCCGTCGGCCCCGCTGGCTCTGATGCCCCCCCCTCCCTCCGGAGACACCCAGGTCACCACCGTCACCCGGCTGCAGATGCAGCTCCACCTCCACGACCTGCAGCAGAACGCCACCGACCTGCGCAAACAACTCTCTCAGCTCCGCAAGATGCAGGTGAGAACAACTGGGCCTACTCTCAATGCATCTATTAGCATGGCTGTTTACACAAACACACACGCATGCAGGCAAATAGGCACGTGTGTGATGAGGTGGTGTTAAAGGAGTCAGGCGCAGGAGGGTCAATCACAGAATAACAGGCTTTAATCCGCAAAATACAGGTTTACGCAGAACTGCGTCAAACACACTCCAGGGCACAAAACAGGTGCACTGGAAAAAACAAGGCACACTGGAAAAATCTCCCGTCAAACAAAATACACGAGCTCCACCGAGCTTCACTAACCTTCACAATAAACAATCACCCACAAGGACAAGGGGGCAGTGGGAACACTTATACACAGACTAATTAGGGGATTAGAACCAGGTGTGTGTGATAACGAGACAAGACAATTGTGATGATGATTGGGGTGGCAGTGGTTAGTACTCCGGTGACGACGAACGCCGAAGCCTGCCTGAACAAGCAGGGGAGGCAGCCTCGGCCGAAGTCGTGACAGTACCCATGCCCCCCCACCCCCTCCCCTCTGACCAGTCATCCACCGCAGGAGCCTCGGTCTGGCTCTGGTGCCACGGTGCCAGAACCGGTTGGTAACCTAAAACACATTGGAATGGTGTTAGGTTAGTAGAGGAGTGGCGGAGAGAGTTCTGGGCATATTCTGCCCATGGCAAGAACACCGACCATTCCCCCGGCCGGTCCTGGCACTAGGACCGCAGGAACCTACCCACATCCTGATTTACTCGTTCCACCTGCCCATTTGACTCGGGGTGGAACCCAGAGGTCAGGCTGACCGAAACCCCCAGACGTTCCATGAACACCTTCCAAACCTTGGACGTGAACTGGGGACCTCGGTCGGATACGATATCCTCTGGCACCCCGTATTGCCGGAAGACGTGAGTTAACAGGGCCTCCGCAGTTTGCAGGGCCGTGGGGAGACCGGGCAGAGGAAGGAGGCGGCAGGACTTGGAGAAGCGGTCCACAACGACCAGGATGGTGGTGTTACCTTGGGAAAGGGGAAGATCAGTCAGAAAATAAATACTAAGATGAGACCATGGTCGTTGTGGAACTGGTAATGGTTGTAGCTTACCCGTTGGGAGGTGCCTAGGTGCCTTACTCTGGGCGCACACCGAGCAGGAGGAGACGTACAGTGGGGAAAAAAAGTATTTAGTCAGCCACCAATTGTCAAGTCCCCCCATTAAAAAGATGAGAGAGGCCTGTAATTTTCATCATAGGTACACGTCAACTATGACAGACAAAATGAGGAAAAAAAAATCCAGAAAATCACATTGTAGGATTTTTAATTAATTTATTAGCAAATTATGGTGGAAAATAAGTATTTGGTCAATAACAAAAGTTTCTCAATACTTTGTTATATACCCTTTGTTGGCAATGACACAGGTCAAACGTTTTCTGTAAGTCTTCACAAGGTTTTCACATGCTGTTGCTGGTATTTTGGCCCATTCCTCCATGCAGATCTCCTCTAGAGCAGTGATGTTTTGGGGCTGTCGCTGGGCAACACAGACTTTCAACTCCCTCCAAAGATTTTCTATGGGGTTGAGATCTGGAGACTGGCTAGGCCACTCCAGGACCTTGAAATGCTTCTTACGAAGCCACTCCTTTGTTGCCCGGGCGGTGTGTTTGGGATCATTGTCATGCTGAAAGACCCAGCCACGTTTCATCTTCAATGCCCTTGCTGATGGAAGGAGGTTTTCACTCAAAATCTCACGATACATGGCCGCATTCATTCTTTCCTTTACACGGATCAGTCGTCCTGGTCCCTTTGCAGAAAAACAGCCCCAAAGCATGATGTTTCCACCCCCATGCTTCACAGTAGGTATGGTGTTCTTTGGATGCAACTCAGCATTCTTTGTCCTCCAAACACGACGAGTTGAGTTTTTACCAAAAAGTTCTATTTTGGTTTCATCTGACCATATGACATTCTCCCAATCCTCTTCTGGATCATCCAAATGCACTCTAGCAAACTTCAGACGGGCCTGGACATGTACTGGCTTAAGCAGGGGGACACGTCTTGCACTGCAGGATTTGAGTCTCTGGCGGCGTAGTGTGTTACTGATGGTAGGCTTTGTTACTTTGGTCCCAGCTCTCTGCAGGTCATTCACTAGGTCTCCCCCGTGTGGTTCTGGGATTTTTGCTCACCGTTCTTGTGATCATTTTGACCCCACGGGGTGAGATCTTGCGTGGAGCCCCAGATCGAGGGAGATTATCAGTGGTCTTGTATGTCTTCCATTTCCTAATAATTGCTCCCACAGTTGATTTCTTCAAACCAAGCTGCTTACCTATTGCAGATTCAGTCTTCCCAGCCTGGTGCAGGTCTACAATTTTGTTTCTGGTATCCTTTGACAGCTCTTTGGTCTTGGCCATAGTGGAGTTTGGAGTGTGACTGTTTGAGGTTGTGGACAGGTGTCTTTTATACTGATAACAAGTTCAAACAGGTGCCATTAATACAGGTAACGAGTGGAGGACAGAGGAGCCCCTTAAAGAAGAAGTTACAGGTCCGTGAGAGCCAGAAATATTGCTTGCTTGTAGGTGACCAAATACTTATTTTCCACCATAATTTGCAAATAAATTCATTAAAAATCCTACAATGTGATTTTCTGGAAAAAAAAATCTCAATTTGTCTGTCATAGTTGACGTGTACCTATGATGAAAATTACAGGCCTCTCTCATCTTTTTAAGTGGGAGAACTTGCACAATTGGTGGCTGACTAAATACTTTTTTTCCCCACTGTATACCCTCACATCCTTACCCAAGGTAGGCCACCAGTACTTTCCGCTCAAGCAGCGTACTGTACAGCCGATACCTGGGTGACCAGAGGAGGGTGACGTGTGTGCCCAGAAGATCAGACGATCACGGATAAGAGCAGGCACGTACCGCAGCCCAGCTGGACACTGCGGTGGAGATGGATCTGTGCGTAATGCCTGCTCTATATCCGCGTCCATCGCCCATACTACCAGCGCCACAATGCAGGAGGCTGGGAGTATGGGGGTGTTATCTCTGGGCCTCTCCTCTGTGTCATACAGCCGTGACAGTGCATCTGCCTTCACGTTCTTCGTACCCGGAATGTATGACAGTGTCAAATCAAACCGGGTGAAGAATAGGGCCCACCTGGCCTGGCGAGGATTCAGCCTCCTCGCTGCCTGGATGTACTCCAGGTTACGGTGGTCCGTCCAGACGAGAAAAGGGTGTCTCGCCCCTTCGAGCCAATGCC